AATGAGGTATTTTTCAAACCAACCCGACCCACCCCTAGGTTCCCTCACTTCTAATCTCAAGATAGCGATACCCCACTTGTGACACTTCTTTGGAAAGCTAATTGAAATTGCTAAACGATGGTCATACAGACTTCAACTTAATTACTGGTAAGTAGTGATAAGAAATGTAGGTGTGGCAATTTGAAAGAAATTTAAAGTGATAATTTATTTTAACAATTGCTCAAAATGACAGTGCAGTAAGAGCACCATAAAGAAAAACTATTTGAATTCTTTCTTCCACAGTATAAACCATTGTACTTTCAAATAAGGGAATCAAATAAAGGTTTAAAATACCACAATTTGAAAACGATTGAAAATCGATAGAAGACAAAACGGAAAGTGCAAAAACGGAAAAATATGCCGTTTTAAGATTCATGTTTGTTGAAAGTAATAAAACATGATAAGGAACAATTTGCGTTATCGCAAAATTAGGCTTAACGATTAGTAAAACATCTTTGTGTTGCCTCTTATATTATCTACATTTTTTATTTTTAGCTTCAAAAAGGCAATGGTTTCAAAATGGCATTGATGAGATTAGAAGTGAGGGGTGTGACCACCTAGGGGTGGGTCGGGGTGGTTTGAAAAAACCTCATTTGTCTCATTTAGCTGGGTCCCAATTTGTAACTTATGCTGAAAAAATCACTTTTTTCATTAATTCCACCTAATTTTTCGTGTAAGGGGTAGTTTTTCAATTTTACCCTAAAAACTTTATGATCATCGTTTAGAATTTTTCATGGGCTTTCCAAAAAGGCGTCACAAGTGGGGTGTTGCCATTTAAGAATTTCAGATGAGTAGGGGTGCCGTCTAAGGTGTAGGTCAGGGTGGTTCATAAAATACGTCATATATTTTCCCCCTCGATATTATAGAAACGGTATTTTTATTTTTTTGATATCTTTTTTGGTTTAAAAATTATAGCCATTGTAAGTTTTCAGTGGACCACCCTGTAGTTAAAACAACATACAGCATTATCTGAATATAGATGGTCAATGTTTTGAAAATTTAGATTTAAAACTTTTTGTCATTTGAAAACAGAATAGAAAATCAACTGAACTTAGTTTGAGTTGGCCCAAACTTGGCTATATTTTATTTTAAAGTTTTTTATGAATTCAAAGCACATTCTAAAAATGTCGAATAAATACTATGCTTAGTATTTTACCCAAATTGCAAAACCTTTAATTGCAAAACCTTTAACGAGGGCTAAGGGACACACAAAACCTCACAATCTTTTCATATGTTTATTTAAAAAAAATTGTTTAAAAATGGGGCAACATGTTTCGGGAATCAGTTAGTTCCCATCATCAGGCCCAAAGTAACATGTTGCCAGGTCGGTCAAGTTTGCCCCCCGTACTAGAGGAAATTCAAAAACAAATATACCACTATTTTGCACACCATAAATGATATTTTGCACACTTACCTAAGAGAAACTAGAGCCGTTTTTTAAAATGGAGGCAAACTTGACCTTTCCCCCATTTGTTATGAAATTGATTTATTTCTATGTACATGGATTCGGCTAATTTTGCACAATTTTGCACACCTTCCTGATAAAAGTTATGAGGGTTTGAAAATTTGCAATTCCCCCCCCCCCCCCCCCATCTGCTACGAAATTGAATTTTGTTTATATCAAACGAATTGGCTAATTTTGCACAATTTTGCACACCTATTTTAGAATTTTGCACACCTTCCTGACGAAAGTTATGTGGGTTTGAAAATTTGCAATTTCCCCCCCATCTGCTACGAAATTGACTTATGTTTATATCAAACGAATCGGCTAATTTTGCACAATTTTGCACAGCTACTTTCGAATTGCACACTCTCCTGACAAAAGTTATAAGGGTTTGAATATTTGAAATTTGTCCCATTGTGTGTGAATTGTCCCATTTAAAAAACATAAGTATGAGTCATATTTGAAAATGATGAGATCTCAGCGACGTGGAAAACTGTACGGAACCCAGACTTCACCTTTTCGATAAGTATAGGATAACCGAGGATATATATGAGGGTTGTCGAAAAATGCAAAATTTTCAAATTTGCCAGGTATTTCAGGAAGTAAGAGGGCTAAGACAAATCTGTGTGTAGAATCTTTAGTTTCATAAATGTTCTTCTATGCAAGCTATAAATTATCGAAAAGGTGAAATCTAAGTTCCGTGCAGTTTTTCAAGTCGCTGAGATCTATCATTTTTGAAATATGACTCATACTTATGTATTTTTAAATGGGACATTTCACACACAATGGGACAAATTTCAAATATTCAAAGTGTGAAAAGTGTGTGTTGTGAGGAGAGTGTGCAAAATTCGAAAATAGCTGTGCAAAATTGTGCAAAATTAGCCGATTCGTTTGATATACACAAAATTCAATTTCGTGACAGATGAGGGGAAAATTGCAAATTTTAAAACCTTCATAACTTTAATCAGGATGGTGTGCAAAATTCAAAAACAGATGTGCAAAATTGTGTAAAATTAGCCGATTTGTTTGATATACACAAAATTAAATTTCGTGACAAATGGGGGGGAAATTGCAAATTTTCAAACTTTCATAACTTTAATCAGGATGGTGTGCAAAATTCAAAAACAGTGTGCAAAATTGTGCAAAATTAGCCGATTTGTTTGATATAAACAAAATGCAATTTAGTTACAGATGGGGGGAGGGGGGGGGAATTTCAAATTTTCAACCGCTTATAACTTTCGTCAGAAAGGTGTGCAAAATTCAAAAACAGATGTGCAAAATTGTGCAAAATTAGCCGAATCGATGTACATAGAAATAAATCAATTTCGTAACAAATGAGGGGGAACGGTCAAGTTTGCCACCCGTTTAAAAAACGGCCCTGGTTTCTCTTAGGTAAGTGTGCCAAATTTCATTTATGGTATGCAAAATTGTGCAAAATGTGTGCAAAATAGTGGTATATTTGTTTTTGAATTTCCTCTAATACGGGGGGGGCAAACTTGACCGACCTCATGTTGCCCCATTTTTAAAATAAACATTTGAAATCGTTTATCGCATTCACATGGTGTTTTGTATATCACATTTTTTGTTTGCTGTTCTGTATTCATTGGTTTAGTGTGTGATAAAATGGATCTAAGTGTATTTTGTGTTTTGAAAGATGTTCGTATGTTATATTGTTTTCCTATCCGTCTTATTTCTTCCGAAACGCCTCGTATGTATGGAATTGTAAGTTGTATGTTGTATATAAATAACTAATAAAATAAATAAATAAATGCCTTTATTGTCAAAAAAATTTTCAATTTGTAGACAAAGGTAAACTAACAAACAAAGTAAAAAAACAAGGTACACAAACAAACAAACAAAAGATAATACAAAACATTATACAAATAATATTGTCAGTCTTATTGTTAAAATAAACATTTATAAATGTTTACAATGTCAAAGAACAAAAAAATAAAAATAATATTATATTGTGTATTGTTATCATTGTGTCTATGATTTGGGGTTTGTATTTCGTTTAAGTTTTGTGAATAAAATATGGTAGATAAGTAAAAATATGGTAGATAGTTTTTATTAATGTATTTTTTATTTGGTTTATATCTCTGTTTAGTGAAATGTCGTGTGAACATATTATTTTTGCCATATAACTTTTTCACAACACCTTTTTTACACTTATACTGTCAGGTGCAAAATTCAGTAAGTGTTCTTATTAATAATATATTTTGTTTTATTTATTCCTGTGCAATATTTTTTTTTTAATTTGTACATGAATTCTATAAATATGATAATAAATGCAGGAGGTTTCTTGAAGCTTGAAAGTAAGAAGTAGTTCTTTTTTATATTTTTTGGTATGTGGTATTTTGTTTAAAATATACCCTCTTTGTTTTGTATTAACTAACATATCTGAATTTTTTGAAATAAAATAAGCCGATTAGATTTTTTCAGTATTATACATTTTTTTTCACAATTTTTTGAAGTAATCACTTGTCACCCATATTTTAAATACATTAATTTCCTGCTATGCGTTCCAATTGTACCAACTTATTTCTTTGTAAAATAAAATAAACTACTTTAAAATTAAAATGACAGACACATCTATCACTATCAAGAATTTTGTCGTTGGACAGACTATAGCGAATTCCTTACGAAAGCAGTCGCTGTCCTGCATAATAGACTACTAGTCCCTTTTTCGGAAATTTTAAGTTTGAGAAGCATTTCATATTACTTTTTGGAAACTACCCTTTTTCCCCTAATTCGACCCCGCTGAATCCGATTCTGCCTGTTGCCAGAGCGAAATCTGAACCAGAAGTGAGATATTCAAGATGGCGGATTTTTTTGAAATTCGATATTTTTAGAGTTTCCATTGACATAGAAAAGTGACTGAGGTGTCTAAATACATATTTTCGAACATGACTAATTCAAAAATGTACAGTAAAATTTATTTGGAATTTTTTTTATATTTTTATAGTATAAAATTCATGTTTTTTATTTAAATTTCGACATAAAAAGTTTTCCAAATAAATTTTAGTGTAAAGTTTTGAATTATTCATGTTTGAAAATATCTATTTAGACACCTCAGTCACTTTTCTATGTCAATGGGAACTCTAAAAATAACGAATTTTAAAAAAATCCGCCATCTTAGCCGCCATCTTGAATATCTCACTTCCGGTTGAGATTTCGCTCTGGCAACAGGCAGATTCGGATTCAGCACGGTCGAATTAGGGGAAAAAGGGTAGTTTCCAAAAAGTAATATGAAATACTTCTCAAATTGTTATAGAGGCACCTTTTTTTAATTTTGTTGCTAGTCTATAATATATATTTTCAATTTTCATATAACAACAAACTAAATTAAAATCTTCTCGTATCTCAAGACCACCATTACGATCTTCCGTGTCATTTAAGTAATTAAAATATTGCAAAAATTGTTTAAAAATATTTAACATATCAATTTTGATAAGTGTTACATGCACACAAATAATGTGTAAAATAAAGATAATTTCATCATATAAATAGCGAAGCAAAATTTTTAAACTGCATCAGTCAACTGATCGTCGTTCAGTGTAACACAAAAGAAACCATGATGAAGTCGGTTGCTTTCCTTGCCTTCTTGGCGCTAGCGTCGGCAGGACAAATTTCTTACCCCTTCGCCCAATCGAGCCAATACGGACCATCATCATATGGGTATGGTAGTGGTTATGGATATGGACCATACAGTTCGGCCTACAGTAGCGGGTATGGATCTGGATACGGGTATTATGGACCTTACTCTGCTAAATATGGCTCAGACCTCCCATCCAGTTATGCTGGCTATGGCAGTTACTACGGACCATACAGTTCTAGCTACTTCTACGGACCTTACAGCTCCTCCGCTTCTGGTTACTCAGGATACCCATACGGTTATGGCTCAGTAGCTGGATACTCTGGACCTTACAGCTATTCTTCTGGATACTCCAGTTCATATGGATACCCTTACGGTTATGGATCTGGATACAGTGGATATTATGGTCCATACAGCTCTAGCTACTCCTACGGACCTTTCAGCTCTGGTTATGGTTCTTCAGCCTACCCTTACAGCTACGGATCTGGATCCTACCCTGGATACACTTCCTACCCATCCGGTTCTAACTCTTACCCATACAACACCTATTCTTATGCCTATGGTTCCTATCCCTACAATTCTTATGGTTCATCTAACTATGGATACTACGGTCCATACAGTTCATCTGCATACTCTGGTTCTTACGCCCCATACAGTTACAACTCATACAAAGGCTACACTCCATACCAATATGGATCCTACAGTGCTTATCCATTCTCTTCCTACGGCTATGGTCAAATCGCTGCCCCTGGTTAGTATACATATTTTATGATATTTAGAGATTTTCTAATTTGTACTCTTTGTTACAGCTGCCTAAACTGCTAAACCAGGAATATCCACGATATTGAATATGACATGACAACACATATGTATAGTTTTTAATAATAAAGAAATATAATTTCTTGTTAAAATATGTTTTATTTTAAATTAATTAAATAACCTAATATATAATTAAATACCCATTAATAGATGATAATAGCGTCAAAAAATATAGTTCCTAAAAATATACATTTATAAAATCTTGCCACAATCCCATCTATTTGTATTAAAAAATAATGGCATTTTAATAATTTTTAAAGGGAAAGGTAGCTAATAACACATCAACATTTAGGAATAAATAATACAAATAATTTAGTGAAAAAAAAATCTATCAATTTAATTAATCAAATTATGTGAACTATAAAACAGGATATTATAATAATATAATAAGAAACATTACAGCATTGGCCACACTATATTATTTTAATTTTACTACTTCTTTAATAAATATTTTTAATTTGGTAAATATTACCACAATAAAATGGTAAATATCACCATTTCTTTACTATCACCAAAGAATATTTTAATTTTACTATTAGGGTATTAAAATATTCTTTGCTATACCGGGTGTGTTTCAGAAGTGGCTCACCCCTATTTATCACAACTTTTTTTTCAGATAAAAAAATGCGATATGGTATTTTAATATATGACATAAATTAAATTTGATTGACGTATTCAATTGTTTTTGGTCAATTCCAAACTTTTTTCAGATAAAAAAATGAGATATGGTATTTTAATAATATATGACATAAATTAGGATTGATTGACGTATTCAATTGTTTTTGATCAATTCCTGTTTCGTGGAAATAACTACAACTTTTGATTTTTAAATGACACACTCTGTATACTTTTACTTTATTCGATAGAAAATGTCACTCAGACTCACAATAGAATGACAATTCACATGTCAACTTTTAACATATTCGCTTTAAAAAATCGTATTTTAAATTTCAATCAACAGTGCCATAGCTGTGTTACAAACACTAATTTTTATTCAAGGAGCCTTGGAAAAATAGATTTGATCGTCTAGTGCTTTTCGTGTCTTGTCCTGGCCGGTTAAAAGATCCTCAAATCGTATTTTTAATAATATCTCAATTTTTTCAAATGGAACGAGGGTAGCTCATTAGCATATTTGGAAAAAATATTTTTTACGAATAATTTGGTACCCCACACTTGGTATTTCAAGAGTATTTCGAGTCAAATTGTCATTATGATCCGCATGTTACAATTTCAAATAAACCACATGAGAAAATGTCAAAAGTTGACAGATGATATGCCATTCTACAGAGACTGTCATTTTCTATGAACTTTCTGTCATTAAGTAAAAAAATACCGAGTGTGCCATTTGAAAATCAAAAATTGTTGTTATTTCCGATGAAACAGGAAGTGACCAAAAACAATTCAATTCTAATTTATGTCGTATACTAACATACCAAATCTCGTTTTTTTATCTGAAAAAATAAAAATGTTATAGGGGGTGAGCCACTCTTGAGACGCACCTGGTATATTAAAGAGTATTAAGTTAACTAAATGATAATTAGGTGCGTAAAAGATTATTACAATCAAAGTTATTAGTTATGCACATAAAAATAAGCCAACGTACAGCAAATAAAACAAAAAAATAGTCAAATAGAATTTATTAAATAGGTCACTAGAAAAAAAGTGTTGAAAATCTAATTACTACTTTGATTGGTCCAATTGATGTGAAAGAGGAGTTTACTAGGTTTGCAAGGTTGCTTACTCTCTGCTCGAGGTAGGAGGGCCAAAAGATGGTAAAAATCTTGGACTTTTTCATATTTTCGCCCATGGTTCCGAAACGTTGCATTTTATTATTAGACAAATTAAAGAGAATTAAATGCTGCATCGAATTAGTGCCAAATTCATTCAAATCGGTTCAGTAGTATGGCTTAAATTGAATGTTGAAGAACGGTAATATATACCAACTGCACAGTAGTTCCCCTTAATTAGCTGCGCGGTCATAACTGTTAGATATCTAGATATAGCTTTTTTTTTAATAGAAATTGATAACAAATGCTAAATAAATGTATATAAAAAACTTAATGTAATATGTATTAAAAAATTGGGCTCAGTTCGTGTGATTTGCATTTTAAGTTCTAACTATTCGGAAAGGTATATACAGATTGTGTCTGCACATATGTTTTTTTCATATTGAAGAGGTCAAATTTATTTTAAATGCTGAAAAAATGAAAGAGACAGTTGTTTCATTTTATTAATACAATTTTATTGTCAATTGATATACAGTGTATCCACGAAATAAGATGACGCGAAAAGGAAAAATTAAGTTACTTTTATTTTAAGACAAAAAGTCAATCTTTAACCACCCCGTATAAGATCCGGCGGCAATTCGCGGCAGCCAGTGGCAATTAATCTATATGCAATATACTTTAAGTAACAAGTATTATCATGCCGTTTAAGAGGATTTGAAAGGGAAAGTAGTTAAAAGTCTTAAAGAGTGACAAGCAAAAATGTAAAAATACTATTTTTGTTGCCTTCAAATAAATTGCCATAAACTAATATTATTTAGGTTTAATTAAGTGCAAAAAAGAAAAAACAGTTCTTTTTACCTTCTTTTCGAACGTCCATTACAGAAAAGGCAACAGCTTTTATCAATTTTAATAAAATATGTAATTAATTGGCGTTATCTGAAAACTGTTTATGTCAGCTTGATACCAGTAGCAAACATGTGACATTTCTAATAAAAAAAGCGTTACACTAGGCTTACTTGATTTTGTTATTTATTATGTATCGTTTACAGGGGAATATAAGAAAAGTATTAGCAACAGTTTCATGCAAACATTTTGAAATTAATATTTCTAAGTAATGACCTATATGGGAACCACTGTGCACTGTTCTGAAAAATGCGGTAAAGTGACATTCAGTAGTCCGTAACATGGAAAACATCATTCTAGTTAGAAAAAATACCTTCAACTAAAGTTACAGAGCATCAAATTGTGGGTTTAACGTGTATGCTAAATTTTAAATTTAATAGTACGTACTACGTACCGAGAAAATTAAAATATTCCGATAATTGCTGTTTGCTCTTCAGTGCCTAAGAAAGTACCTTCCTTCAAAATCTGTGGAATAACTTAAAAATTGGTATTATAGACAGATATTAATTGCGTGATTCATGTCAGTTTACTTTGCAGAAATATCTTAAGAATTTTGAAGGATATATTATTTATTGTAAGTTGTAAGACTGTAAAAGGGCTACAATATAATAGTGACTAAAGAAATAAATAAAATTCAAGTCATATGGTTTAAAAACATTGGTTATAAAATTTTAGACGAAAAGTGGTACCTATAGAATCTAGAATAACAGACGACCCCTAACGAGAATGGTGCTGAAGTTGCTGTCACTATTATATGAAGACATACAAAGCGTGATAGTGACTGCATTATTACCCGAAGTTGGCCCATTTTTTGAATGATGTGGATGAAGACATTCTGAAATCACAGGAGGACATTTTAAGCACACAATAGTATAGGCGAAAATATGAAGCTGTCACTATTATATGAAGACATACAAAGCGTGATAGTGACTGCATTATTACCCGAAGTTGGCCCATTTTTTGAATGATGTGGCTGAAGACATTCTGAAATCACAGGAGGACATTTTAAGCACACAATAGTATAGGCGAAAATATGAAAATAGCCCAAGAATTTTACCATTTTTGGGCCTCCTAGCTCAAGCGGTTCGGCGCGGAGGTTGAGTAACCATGCAAACCTAGGAAATTTCTCTTACGCGTCAAATGAACCAATCAAAACAATTAGCTTTCCAACGCTTTTTTCTAAGTGATTCTTTAGGCCAGTTAAATAAGATTTATTGGATTGGTCACTTGGAAAAAAGTGTTGGAAAGCTAATTATTGATTTGATTGGTTCATTTGACGTGAAAGAGAAGTTTTCTAGGTGTTCACGGTTGCTCGACTGCAAAACTTGCAAAAATATGGTAAAATTCTTGGACTTTTTTCAAATTTTCGCCTATAGTTCCAAAACGTTGCCTTCTAGCAAAAATTTTGAATTGAATTAATTCTTTTCTAATTAATGAGAATTAAATTCTCTGTCGAAGCAGTTATTAAACATTTATTCAATTCGGTCTAACAGCATGGCTAAAAGTTGAAGTTGAAGAGAAAAAGAAGTTGAAAGTTGAAGATTGGTGATATTTACCTTGTTTGCTGAAAATGCATTACATTAAAGTGACATTGAATTGTCCATCACATGGAAAACATGATTCTAGATAGAAAAAATATAAGTAAAGTTCTAACGCATCAAATTGTGGGTTTAACATATATGTTAATAGGAAAATATTCAGACACTTACCAGAAAGAAAACGCATTGCGTAACCATGTTCTGATGCGTGTTATCAGCGAGTAATGGCAGTAAGTAAATGTAAATTATACTAGGTACTCAAAATAATCATCGCATGATTGAAAAAAGAAATTACATATTTCTAAATGAACTATGCATTCTTCTGCCTTCGTCTTCCGTGTTTTTGTGACAATTATATATATTATTATATATAGGCTATGCGCTGACATGCAATTTTTAGCCGGCCGACTATTCAGTTGCAAAAATGAAAGCAATACATTATTATTGACCCAATCGGCCGAATATTTGATTGTATATGAACGTGGCTCCATAAGAACATTTTGGGTAGAAATCTGCAACTAAATAGTCTAAAAATTGCCGGAAGAGAATAGCTTCTACGTCCCACTAGTCAACTCGCATACCTAACGTTGCCGTTTGTTGTCCCTCAATTTCGCAGTTCTGCACGCGCATAAACGATAATCGGTCGGTTATTTCGCGTCCAATCTAAGCAAAAAAAAATTACCCCAGTGACTAACCAACGCAATCAAAACACGCCTACAGCGTATTTCGATTGCTATTGCGTATTTACAGCTACTTTTAACAAATAAAAACAGCTGTAAAAAAGCAAAAAAGTTTTGGTTTGGGTTGGGACATGATCCTGGGACCTCTCGTTCTCAAAGCGACGGCCTACCAGCTAGGCGTTACATTCAGCCGTTCTTAAAACTGTTTATGAAATAAGGCGACAGCAAACGGCAAAATTGTTGG